GGAGAAAGAAGAGAACACACGCGGAAGGATGGAGCGAGAGAGGCGTATGCGAAGGGAGAGAGGGTGAGTGCGCGCGAGAGTTAACCAGAGAAATAACCCTACCTATACTCTTGCCGATCGCCCGTACCTACGCATATGCGTACGGTTTACTTCTTCTCCCTTTTACCCTCGCTCGACGTAGCCGGCTAACGCACTTACACACACCGGTCCACCCTCGCGATCCGCCCCCCCACGTTTTCTGGAATTTTTCCTTCGCAACGACGCCAGTCATCAACCCTGGCGCAGCGAGCTGCGGTCATCCACCTAACGTTGCCTCGAAACTCGAGACCCGCCCGCCGGCCTCGTTCTTTTAATGATGGCCTGCCAAGGGAAGGGCGAGGGGATCCTCCTCGTTGTTGGCAATTAACGGCGCAAAGAGTCTGCGAAGCCAGCTTCGCCGCCGGAACACCGGAAGCTAATTCAAACTGGCAGGTGGTGACGAAAAACCTGACGCGAAACTGGAACAACCATCGAAAACCCGTTCCTCCGCCGGACACCTTTTAACCGAATCATTCAGGTTCGAAGAAGGAGACAGCGAGCAGCAGCTCTGGACGCGTCTTGGTGAATTTTCCAACGCCGTTGTTGCCTTCGTCCCCACCGTGATCATCTGTCTTTCTCCGTTTCCAGAACTCTCCTAGAGATTCTCCTAGCGCTCCGCGTCAGGGATTTGAATGCCCGAATAAATTGCGGATTTTTGTACGAAATTGGCATGCAACGACGAGGAAGTTTCCCTCGATATTATTATACCGTTCATTGGATGAAGTCGCAGAGAATTGACAGATGTCCGATGCTGTATGTCGTACCTTCGTTCTCCGTAATTCGTTCTGCGTCTCTTTGTACGGGTGCCTTGCACTTTCAATTTGACCAGTTTCACCTCGAAGCGACGTCNNNNGTCCGCGCGGCGGACGATGATTTGGGATGAGTCGGCGGTTTGTCGGCTCCGGCATTGGCCTTCGCGACGCCCTTGTACATATTTCGGTCGGCATGATCGGCGCCGGTGACGAGCGCGCGTCCATTTTTTCGTTGGAAGCCGAAGAGATTGCTCGAGAATCGGTAAAAAGAGAAACGAGGAAAGGAAAGTGGATGGACCGGTGAGGACGACGCAAAAGCCGTAGAAGAAGAAGAAGAAGAAGAAGAAGAAGAAGAAGAAGAAGAAGAAGAAGAGGACACGGAGGTGAAGCAGGGAAGGAGAGGAATAAAAAAGAGAAGGGCGGGCAGGAGCGAAAGCAAAGGAGCGAGTAAATGTACCGTGGCGTGGGCTGGGTCCTGTGTCGGCCTTGCTAGTACCCTTGGATTTCGGTCGGTGTCCTTGGCACTGATGGCGGCCACTCGGCCTGGTACCACTTTATTCTCTCCATCTCGTCCCGTGGGGCATTCTCCTCCTCCTCTTCTGTTATCCTTCTTCTGTCTCCTCCGCTTCGTCTTCTTCGTCCTCCTCCCGTTGGCCCTTTCTCTCGGCCTCCTCGTCTCTCGGCCGCGCTCCTCTGCGTCCCTCTTTCTCGGTGGCTCTTTTATTTATTTATTCTTTTGGGCCGGCGGCCGCTCT